TGGGCTGCGCTTGTTTTGCAAGGCGTTTATTTATTTTTCCTGGATCGCATGGAGAAAGCAGCAAAAATATTAGCGAGCTCTTGTTTTTGTAAGCACAGAGGTTGCAGAAACGTCCCGCTTTCTGCCATGCAAAACATTGCTGTTGCAAAACACCACGTTTTGCAACGAGCCCCCTGGGTTTCCGCCAGCCCTGGGGAATCGCGTGTGCTCCGCGCCGGCCGCCCTTCCCGCCTGGCTGCCAGCAACCTTCCTGCTGGATTTGCCTTCCCTCCTAGAAAGCCCCAAGCCCTGAGTGAGACGTGCCAGCACCAAAAACATGCTTTCAATAGGAGTGTTGGCCAAAAAGATGCATTTTCATGGCTCTCCATCCTGCCCTGCTGTGCGGTGCCCGGCGGCACTGGTGCTGTCAGATGCTCTCCTGCATCTCACCCCTCCGGTATCCCAAAATCCGACACAGGCACCTTTGCCTTGGGGTGGCTGGGGGACAAACGCTCTCTCTGCTGGCTCTGTCACACGGGTCTGTGGCACAGATGTCCCTGCTGTCCCCTGGCCCTCGTCTGCCGTGACACAAAGCGGCTGTGATTTATCCCGGCCCCGAGGGGCAGAGGCGCCGCCGCGTGCGCTCCGGCAGAATTAGGAGTTATCAAAGCAGCTCATAATTAGCAGTGAATAAAATGTCCTTGCAGTAGCACTCCATTAGTTAGAGATAAACTGATACCAGCCTTCCCTAATGCTCTCTTAAGCGGCCCTGCTCCCAGGTGTTAGGGGCAGTTCTGGTGCCAGGTCGCTTGGAGCTGCGTGCCGGCCGCAGCCGGTGCCTCCCGCCGTTCGCGATGCCGGAGCGAATCCCACGGAAACGCTGGGTTTGCCTGGACCTTCCCTGCCAGTCGTGGGAGCTGCAGCTCCGGAGGGGACGGGATTTAGGCTGGTGGCAGCTCCTGGCTGCCGTGGTGGCCCCGGGGCTGCTGGTGCCCACCCGGAGCCCGAGCACTGGGCATGGCTTTCCATGCATTTTTTTCCATGGATATTGCTCCGTGCAGCCCCTTCTCAGCACATCACAGGTTCGTCGTCTCTTCTGGCCTCCTTGGCAAACCTGCAAGAATCGCAGTGCCCAGCCTCGCAGCAGCACCTGGATTCAGCCGGCGCCTCCATCCTCCCGTCCCATCCTGTGTATCCACGCGTGTCCTTGGAGAAGAGGACGCATCCTCACCTGGAGCTTTCCTCTGGGCTGGCTCCAGTGTTGCCGTAACCAGCTGCTCCGGTTCCCTGCAGCCTCCCTTGCTGGAGGAGGTGTTTGAGGCCGCCCTCGTTGCTGATTTTCTTCCAAATCATCCTCGGAGTCCCGTCCTGCTCTGCCAGGTTGGAAGCCCCAGCCCCGCACTTGTGCTGGCACCGGCTGCCCTGGGAGCCCACGAGGCAGATGCCGGATGGCCATTTTTATTATTATTTTTTAAAGAAAAAAGCCTCTGAAGCTGTATTTTTAAGCTGTATTTTGGCTGTGGAGCAGCGTGGGCAGCAAGCAGGAGGAGCTAAGTGTCACCATGGGGCCTGCAGCATCTCGTGCTCGCTCAGAGTGTCACACGCGAGTCCCGTGGGGACAAGGGAGCCCTTGGTGACATTGCTCCACGTAACACAACAGGCTGCTGCTTTGTGTGCAAACGGTGCTCTTAGATAGCCAAGTCATTTCCAGGGGAGCTGTCTTTTCTTCCACGTGATCCTATTACATGTTTTTTGAATACTGACCCATATACTCGCCTAAGAGAAGGTGGAGATTCGGTGCTTTGCTAAGTGCAGCCGTTGGTTTCGTCACCAGAGGTGGCCTGGGTGCTGCGCCCGTCACCGTGGCCGCGGGGCGGCGGGTCCGTGCGCGCTCGCGCCGAGGGCTGCGCTCCCCACGCCGCCTCCTTGCTCCTGTTATTGCTTCCTGCTCTCCGCTCTGTTATCGCTTTTTCTCTTTTTATAAGCACGGAGTGAGAGCCTCTGGGCACCATCAGGCCCTGGCTTATTACTGTCTCTGATGCTGTTTGTGTTAGCAGCCTGACAGGTCAGAAACATTTCTCTTTTCCTTTAATAAGGTGGTAAAGTTCATGCCGGCTCTTTTTCCTGCGGCAGCGCGCGCGGAACGTGTCGATGCATCAAACCTCTCATTTCTGCTGCGTCCGGGGAGCCTCTTCTGGAGATGCCGGAGCACTTATTGGGTTAAAAGCAGGAGAAAGCGAAGTTGAAGAGCAGCGTCCTTGACCTTCAGCACCTGCAGGGTTTGCACTGAGCGATCTGCACCCAGCCAAGCCCGTGGGGTCAGAGTTGCTCTGATGTGCTGGGAGGGTGGCAAAAAGCAGGTTATTGAAGGGTGTCCCTCATGGTCCGGTTCTTTTGGAACTGTTTTTTAAAAGTGGGGTTTTAAATCCCCGTGGTCTGCGGGGAGGCCGGCACTGCTGGGAAGGTCCCTTTGCCACGGAGTGAACCTGGAGCCCCCTTTCCACGGGGAGGGACCCTGGGGGTTCCACCCTGAGGTCCTAGCGGAGGACACGTCCTTCCCACGGCAATTCCCAGGCGGTCCAGGATGCTAGGAGCAGAGGGGCTCATTTCCACGCGGATTAGCTGTAGATGGGCGCAGCTTTCGGCAGTGAAAGCAACATCTGCCCGTTGAGCACATGTGGGATGTGTGGGGAGGCAGGAGCCGTCCCTGCTGTCCCCACAGGGGACGTTTTCCTCTGTGCTTGTTCCGAGAGGCCGTGGAAGGCGGCGAGCTCCCCCTTGCAGCTCTGCAAACAGACGCTGGCTCGGCGGGGGCTCCCGTGGCCACAGGAGTTTTCCTCCAAGTCTTCCTGCCCAAGCCTCTCGCTGCCTCGGGCTTTTGGAAGTAATCAGCCCCCGTGGTTATTTCAGTTAGCGCTAATTAGCGGCACGAACTAATTAATGGGGGTTGACTTTCCTCTTTCTAATGCTTTTTTAACCCACGGACACATTCTAATTAAGGGACCCATGCAGGGACCCGAGTGAAATGACTCAGAGCGCTCGCAGCTGGAATAAACCGCGTGCTTTGCTGAAGGTCACTAATACCGCCGCAGCCGCCGGGGACACGGCCTGGCCTCGCCACGAGCATCGGACGCCTCTTCCAGGTCGGTTTGATGTGAGTGGGTCCGTGGACGCGCTTGATGCACCGGGAGCAGCGGCGCTCAGCGCCGCTCTGCGTTGGTGCCACGCGGCTGGCTCTGCCCATGGGTGATGCTGGGGTGTGCAAAGCTGCTTGTGCACCGTGGGCCGTAAGGCTGGCACTGCCCACGTGCAAGGAGAGCCCTTGACCATGCCCTGCGTGGCGTCCCCTGCGCCCCTGGCGATGCGGGGCATTGGCAAAGGGGGAGGCTGCTGCGTGGGGAGAAGGACGGGAGCATCCCATGCCACGCGTGGGCATTGCCTGGGTGTGCTTAGGGCTGGTGCTGTACGGATCTGGCTGGAGGTGCCCATGTTTAGCTCTCCTGTGACTGCCCTTGTCCTTGCAGGCAGTGCTGCTCCCTTTCCGGACGCGGGGTCATGTCCAGCTTTGGCCACGCCGGGCTCCTTTTGCAGGACGGTTTCCCTTAGGTGCTTTCATGTGCAGGAGGTGACAGCAAAGCACAAATGCAAGGTGCAGGGCAAGCCCAGAGTTCCCCTTTTTGACCTTTTCCTGCTCTATCAGGACTGGGGGGCGACGCTGACGTTCCTGTCGCTTCTCCCTGTGACGAGCTGGGAAACCTGAGCACCTCTGCCCGCCGTGTCCGTGCCCGGCGCCCCTCGTGTTTGCGCTGCGCTTTAAAGTGCAGCATCCGGCGCGGCGCCCCGTGCGTTCCATGTTCGTAGCAGCGCTCGGGCTGTGCTGGGCGAAGGAGGGGAGAAGGGACCGTTTAGTTATTCATCTTTAACCTTTATTTTTGTTTAATGTGACCTTGCTCGCGGAGGCTCTCGTTACCGGCCCCGGCTTGTTCCCTGACATCCGGCACGCTGCTGCTTCCCTGGGTGACCCTGCCGTGACCGGGAATCCTGCTCCGGAGACCTGGGATGCTCGCGGAGCGGGTCCCCTCTCCCAGCCATCTGTTAACATGAAGGCAGAAACAGCGTCTACCATTTTTTTTTTAACTATTATTATTATTATTATTGGGATTCTATTTGGAGTTTTTTTTGGCTGCTGCAGATATAGACCCCAGTGCATCCTTGCATTGCAGCTGATTTTCAGGAGGCTCCTGCAGCAGCTCCCCTGGCAGCGACGTGGTCCCCATCACTGCGGGGAGGCTGCCCAGATGCTCTGCAGCCCTCGCCCGTAGCTGCAGCTCTTGGTTCTGGCCCTTCTCTGTTTTTGGAGGTTATAAGTGGCCTGCTGGTGCAGGAGGTTTGACTGAGCCCTTGGGATGTTCCCCTGGGATAACACAGTGTGGCTCTGGGCCTCATTCCCAAGTTCCTCATTTTGTTCCCGAGGAAACACATTCAAGCCATTTCCCTTGCAAACTCGACCTGCCTTGAACAAACTGTACCGAGGTGCAAAACAAACTGCTCCTGAGGTCAGCAGGGCCTGAGCGCCCCGGAGCACCAGGCCCTCTCGGAGCACAATCTGAACGTCCTTGTGCGTGCTCCTGTCTGGATGTAGCGCTCGCTCTTCCCAATTCCCACCCGGACTCCGCACGAGGTGGCAGGGACAGCCCAGCAGCCTGGCGCTCGGCAGTGGTTTGGCAGGGCCGGCAATAGCCAGCGTCCTTCCCGGCTCTGCCGGTCTCCAGGTTGATTTTGGGGTGTTTGTGCATTTGTTTCTTGCTGCAAGCACACTGCAGGTTTGGGGTATTGCCTTTCTCTAGCTCACGCACGTGCCCTCTGCTCCTGGTAACCCTGTTTTTATTGATGTTTCTGCTGGAAATACGCAGTTAATACAAGGAACCAAACCACATGAGCCAAAGCTGCCCTGAAGATGGGCCAGGAGAACGCTGGTGGGGAGATGTGTGAAAAACCTAAGTTTCTCTCTTGCATTGCAGGGTTTCAGCGGACCTCCCCACGCAGCCTTTGCCTTGAGCTGTGGCCCACGAGCAGTGAAGGAAAAATATGAGCACGAAGCCACCCACGAGCCGGAGTACGAGAGCGAGCTGTCCATCCGGATAGGTAGAGCTGGGCTCCATCCAGGCAAGCATCCTGTCATATACCCACCGCAGAGCGGGCGGGCGCAACGCCCCTGCCAAAGTGGCACCTAGACTGTAACGTATGTGGTTGAAATTAGATCGGTTTTGACTTGTGCATGCCCAGGGCGCCTTCTTTCCCCGCTCTGGATCTCTGTCCGCGCAGCCTGGCTCTTGCTGCAAGAATCCTGCCTTCTCAAAACCACTTGCATGTCTGTCCGTGCCTATGAATTATTGGTAATTAGATATCTCGTCCACCAGGGAAATGAAATCATTGATTTAGCTTGAGATAAGTTTATCCTCAGCGTGGGCGCAGGGAGGGCTTAGCCTGCCCTTGCCGACTTGTGTCACATTGGAGGTGACCCATTACAGTGACCCTCAACCACCCAACCTAATTATAGACTATGACTGGCAGTCGTTTTGTCACTCCTTATGCTGGAGGTTAATAGAATTTCAGCTGCCAAAGTGTGGAATAAAATGTCTTGTTGACAGATATTTCTTCTCTACATGGTTTCTAAAGGAAAAAAAATCTCCTTATCAAAGGTGGTGGAAGCTGGTGAGGTTTCCCAGTTGTGGGGCTGGGATATGTCCCTTTCTAAGGCCTGGATCCTGTTCTTGTTGCCAGGCAGAATTCACCTCATGCAAATTTTCCTTGTCTAGTTAACAGCTTTTCAGCAGACAAAAGACAATGTGGTTTAGTAAGTGAATCTTACTGCTCTCCTGCTTTTTCTTAGTTGGAAAGAATGTGAAATGACACTTTACAATTTCTGGAATATAACTGAGAGCAGATTGAGATGAAGAAATGACCCCCTTCTTGCAAAGAATTGCATTAGCCTCTTAAATCAGGTTGTGTTATTTTACTCCATTGTATAATTGCATTTTTTTTTTTCATGAAGTGGCTCAAATCCACAGGGTCCTTCAGGTTTTCAAATGTCATCCTGGAGTTTTCCAAAGGGATGGAAGGATCCCTTGTGCTTGGCTCCAGTGGCTTTAAGGATTTTGATATCTTTAAGCTCCCAGGACAAGTGCAGACTTGAACTCTGCTTCTAGCCCTGCAGTCAGGAAGGCTGTTGCAAGGTTTTTGATACATTGTAAGGTCAAAACACTACATGCAACTTATTTTTTTCTTTTTTAAAAAAAGTAAACACCCTTGCATTTTCCAGTCCATTAAACTGCTGGGATTTTATGTTTTCATCGTCTCTTAGTTGCAAACAAAAACAATGCAAATGGTTTTGAGAATAGAAAATTTCCATTAGGTTCTGTTGGTTTTCTTTCTCGGGGGAAATTGTATTAAGGATCTACAATATGTTAATTCTCTTATTGTCTTTTGCTGTTTCATTCTTGTGCTTCCGCGATGCACTCGGTGCTTCCAGCAGCCGCCCCGTGCCCTCGGAGCGGGCCGCGCGCTCCAGCTCCGTGTTCCCGCCTGTGCTCTGGGAAGAGCTCGGGAACATCATGGATATTTTCTAACGGGTGCGTCTTACTGGGACACTTTAGGCTTAATCATGGCTGAATTATTGATCCTTACTTCATATTTACACATCTTAAAATACTAAAAACGGTGGAAAGAAACAAGCAAAAATCCCAAAGCAAGCCCTGGAATGCCCTGTGTTTGCCGTGGCTGCACGGGGATGCTGCCCAGCAGAGGAGGGGACCTGGCATGGGAAGGGCCGGAGGAAGAGGGAAATGCAGAGTGAAGCATCCGAGGTGCCTGTGGTCTTGCTGGTTGGGATTCAGGGGTGCCCAGCTTGCTTGGGGGGATCCTTGTAGAAGGGTCCTTTAGGCCTGTGGAAAGGAGGATGGAGGAAACGCAAGGATTTGGTCGATCCCTCGTCCCCTCTGTTGGGCGAAAAAAGGCTGTGTGAAGCAGAGCACGGGCAGATCTGGTTTGAACTGCAGGGAAAAGTGTGTGTCTAGACACAGTATTTAAAGAGTGGGATAATCACTAGGCTTTAATTGCTATGAAGTGAAGAGAAGCGAGCCTTGTCTTCAGTGTCTCTGGGTAGGAAGCAGACGTAGCGGTGCCTCTGTGCCTCCCTTGGCACAGGCTGGTGCAAACGCAGAGATTTCTTGGTTTCTGGTGCCGACGGGTGAAGCCTCCTCCCGTGCTGCCCATGGGGACCCAGGAGGGGCTCAGCCCCCAAACGCCCCCCCAAGAGCGGGGACGTGTCGAACCACAGGAGCTTGCAGACCTGCAAACGAGGGCAAAGACTTCCAGCCAGTTCACTGCAGGCTGCTGCTTCCCTGGAATTCTGCAGCCCCGGAGGGCCAGCTTCCCGCCCTGGAAGGAGAGCCGCGTGGGACACGGGTGCTGGGCACTCCTCGGAGGGGATCTCACCCCACGTCGCATCGGAGCGGTGACTCGTGCTCCTGGAAACGCTGTGTTTGGCAGGGCAGGATGTTGATGCCTTGCTGTGTCCTGGTGCAGAATGATTCATGCCGCTCCAAATCGGATTACGGAAGAGTGCGAGGGCAGCGATGTTCCCCAGCAGCCTCCTCCGCCCGTGCTTTAATATCCCCCTGCAACACTGCAGGAGAAGCCCTGTCCATGTCCCGGGAAGAGCTTTCTAGGCAGCTTGTGGTGGAGGATTTCAGAGCAGAGCAGCCTGCAAAGTGCCCAGGATAAAACAGGGTAAAATCGAGTCTCATCCCAGCTCAGCACCGGGACCATCTCTCTGCCCTGGCTCCAGCCCACGGCTGCTCCATGCTCCAGCTGCCGGGAATGACAGGGACAAGGTGGTGAGCTGAGCTAGGCGCTGGGGCAAGTCCCTGGCGGGTGTCACACTGTGGTCCCCATGTCCTGGGTGCTTAGTTTGCTTCTCACAACAGAAGGGTGAGTCCCTGCCGAGCAGCCCGTGTGCTGAGCTGGAGGGATGTCCTGCACGTGCAGCCTCGTGCCCTGGGCACTGCCGAGTTACTGATGTTATTAAGGGGAATGCGGGTTCGTTTTAGTGACTGGATTGATTTTTGGCAGAGCGTGACTTAGGGAACGGCGCTCTGGCATTGCCATGTCGATGCTCAGCAAGCAAATCCACGCGGGAATAGCGATTAGAAAAAGAAAATACCAGTGTTTGAAATAGCGTGCTTAAGAAATGAGATTTCATTAAACTTGCTAGTTAAATGAACCGTGAGGCTTGGGGGTGCCGTAGACGAATCCCGCTACGTTTAATTTGTGTTTTCTTTCTTAAATTTGCCCTGTTCTGTCAGGCAGCAGCAGCACCGTGCAGCCCTTGGCCGCGGAGGCAGGACCTGGTGTTTTGGTCGGAGCGCAGCTGGAACAGACTCTGGCCCTGCCGTCCTCCAGACCTGGCCTGCGTCACCTCAGCTGCATTATAAGCAGTTTTATACTCTGATTTTCCACCGCTTTCTGAGGATTTCAGCGCTCTCTGCGTTGCTTTTTCTTTTTCTTCCCTTTCAAAGGAATTATTGTGCATCAAGGTTGTGTCGTGGAGTAAGGAGGAGAGGAGCAGGCTGTGTGCACGTGGGGTCGTTCATCAGCGCCTAGATGGTTATTGTTGCCTAATGATGAAATGAGCTTCTGGTGAAAGGAAGGGAAGGAGCTGGTGAGATAAAGAGGCAGCAAAACCCTCGGAGATGAGAGCAAGAGAGGGTTGAGTGGAGGGGCTGGTGTTTGTGCTTCGGGAGCCGTGTGGATACTGTTTGCCTCTCATCTGCCTGTGTCCTTGTAGCCGTGAAATCCATTCTTTGCCCTGCTCCATCTGAAATACGGGTTTGTTTGCTCAGGGTTTCCATTAGCTTCAGCGGAAGCCGGAGAGCTTCTCGCTTGCTGTGCACTGTGCAGCCGCGTTTGAGCCGACGGAGCCGGGAAAGCTGCCGTTAGCGTTCGGGATACGCTGAAGTAGTTCGGAAAATGGATGTTTCCAAGCTCCTTGTGGCCCTCCCGGAGCGTGTTCCAGCATATGGGGACAACCGAGGAGCAAAAGACGTGTGTGGAAGCGGAATGCAGCGGTCCCAGCCATGGAGCAGACGGCATGTTCCTGCCTGGGGAGCATCGGTTCCAAGTCTGGGCTTGTTCTGCTCCGTCTATGACCTCCTTTGTTTGACCTACGTTCCTCCTGGAGCATGGGGAGAGCAGGAAGACTCCTCCATCAGAACTGCCCATCCCGTAACGAGGAGACGAGCGGTGTCTGCAGCTCACCTGGATGCTGCCGGCGCGTTCCTTGGGCTGCAAGGAGAGGAGGACGAGCGGGATCCGTGCAGCCCCGGAGCCGCCGTGATTCATGGTGCTAATATTGAGCCGGAGCCTTTCGCGTGCATCTGCAAGGTTCATTAAGTCATTACCACTTACATAACGTGAAGCTCCTTATGCAAAATGGATCGTTTGCAGGGTTTGGAGGGCTCCACCGCATTCGTAATGGCGTTGACTCGTTCGCACCACGCTTGGCCTGTTCCTGAGCTGGGAAAACTGCTGCTTTCAAGAAGCATCAATTCATTTTGGGTTTTAATAGCCAGCCTTAATGATGAGTGCCTCTGGCAATGGCTATATTGATTTAAAAATATTCTAATGCCCTATTCTGGAGCATTTCTAATGGTTATTGACCATCGCTTTCAGACTGGGTTCTGCAGTTGCTTTTTATAATCAAAACTAAATATGAATTTGTATGCACAAAGCGTTTAAAAAAAATCAAAGCACCTAAGCCTGATGCCCATTAGCACAAACTGATAAAATTGCTTCTTCAAATGGAGTTCGTACCCCTATTATTCTGGTCAGAACCTCACTCCCTGGGTTAGGAGTTTTGATTTTTCGAGGCTAAATGAAGCCTGGCAGCTCATTCCCATTTGCTTGGTCAGACTGTCTCTTAGCCTGAACATCTTCTTTTGCTCCACTTCCCAGGCTATGCTTAAAAACGTCTTGGAAGTATTTGCAGTGGATCAAATCCTGCGCTTCTGCGCATCCCTAAAGCCGCAGTGGATAAATCCCGGAGCTCAGCGGACTCGCTGTGCATGGAAGTTATTGGGATTTCCAACGGCTCGCGGGCTGATCCT